CGCCACCACCAATACCAACACCACGGCCCACATGCGCTCCATCGCGTGGCCCTGTGTACCCCGCATCCGTCGCCGAGCACGACAGCTGCAACGGCGTACGACCACCGACACCGCCGCCGCCATTGCTTCTATCGCACGACAGGCCATCGGCCGCCGCCAGCAGCCGTACCTTCGCCAGCCGCCGCTCCTCCGTCCGCACCTCCTCCTCCGCTGCCGCCGCCGCCGCCGTCGCCGCCTGTGGCACCTCCGGCAGCACCACCGTGATGCCCGTCCCTGCAGCATTCTCGCCGCCGCCGCCAGCCGTCGCCACCGCCGCTGCTGCCTGTGCTTCGCTGCTCTGCGCCAATCTCGCCTGCATGGCCGCCTCATCTCTCCTCATGCAGCACACCAGGGAGGTGAGCATCACGCTGCAGGGAATCCAGCCCCCGGTGGCCACATTGAAGGCACCCTGCGTGGAAATGGCTCCAGGGAAGGCGGGATGGGCGCGTACAGGATAGTCAAGGGAGGGAAAAAGACGAACCACGAACGAGTGAAGCTGCTGCCCCAGGGCAAGAGGGAGGGAAGTCAACAAAGTGTTCATAAAACTTTCCCTTTACCGGAGTCTGATGGATACCCCCCCAATCCGCAGCTCTCTCCCCCTCCCAAACCCTAGTTAGTTACGCCTTCTTTGTTACGCCTTCTGGCGCATCAGTGTATCCTTGCCATCAGCTTCACTCGTGGTTCGTCTTCCTCCCCCCCCAACCCCCTCCTCCTCCACCTCCTCCCTCCCCCCCCCACAGCCCTCTATCCGCGCACCTCGCGACCAAGCACATGGATGAGCCCCGCCACCAGCACGGGTCCAAGGCCCTTGCCCAGGTCATCCGTCATAGACTGTGGAGGGACACATAGTTTGGGGGACACAGAGGTGCGGTAGGTCCTTTTCACAGAAGACTTCTTTGTGTACGTAAGGCGTGTGGGTTTTGCTCGTGCGGGTTCTTGTGTATGGCGGGGTGCGGATGGGCCCCGTCGTGGAGGTGGCGGTGGTGGTGTGTGTGTGTGTGGTTGTGATGGTAGTGGCGGTGGTGGTGTGTGTGTGGTTGTGGTGGTAGTGGCGGTGGTGGTGTGTGTGTGGTTGTGGTTGTGGTGGCGGTGGTGGTGTGTGTGTGGTTGTGGTTGTGGTGGCGGTGGTGGTGTGTGGTTGGGGAGGAAATGGTGGTGGTGGGTTAGGTGTGAGGGACGGAGCTGCGGGATATTTTGCGCACGGAAACATCACTCATCGTGCGGCGGACAACGGGCAACGACATCCAGGGCGTGGTAGGGCCGGGCAGGGCAGGTCACGAGGAAGGTCAGCAGGAGGAAAGGGGAACGCGGGCTGCGGGGAGGGCAGGACGGCCGGAGTGTGTGTGCGGAAAACCTGATTTTAACACTGCCCTTCCCACACACACATCCGAGATACACCGAGCACCCGAAAACCTCCCTCTTCCTCACCCTCCCTGCCATATTCCTGCACGCTGATCCTTCTTCTTCTCCTCCCCTCCCACTTCTCAACAACCCTCCCGGACCCCCCCCCCTTTCACTCGCTCGTGGTTCATCTTCCCCCCCCCCCTCTCTGCGTGCTTGCTTGCTTGCCTACCTGCAGTGCCAGAGCCACCCCCCGTGTCTCCGGCTCGTTCACGTTGAGTATCACCGATCTAAGGTTGGGTCCCGCCACTGAGGCCACTGCGCCCCCCAGGGCGGCCACGAAGCAGCTGGCGGCGAGACCCATGCGCTGAAGGTCTGGGGCCGGTCCCGTGTGTTGGGAGGGCGTTGGGGGAAGGGGAGGGCGTTGATGGGATGAGGGGGGGAAGACGAACCACGAACGAGTGAAGGTGCTGCCAAGGAAAGAGGGGGAGGGGGGGGGGGTCTGAGCAGGGCAGTGGCTACATGAGGGTGTTGGGATTTTTGAGGTGTACGTGTGAAAGCATGATGTGGAGTGCGGGGTAGGAGGAGGAGGGGGGAAAAGACGAACCACACACGATTGAAGCTGCTGCCAGGGCAAGAGAGTAGCAAACGTAAAAACTGACCGAAAGGCGTCCGAGGCGACTGTGACGACTGTGACCTCGGGATGACGAAGTGACGTTGATGTCGGAAATCCTACCTACCTAAGCCGCCAGAATTAAAAAGCTGAATAGTATAGCCAATCCGTAAAGAAGTAGGTGTAGAAAAGTAGTAGTGAAGGCGGCGAGTAAAACAGTGCTGTCGTAAAGGTGGCCTAAAGTTGCTGGCCTGGAGAAAAAGGCTGATTTGCTGATACTGAAAGGCTGTCGGTATGCAAGTGCTCCTCCCAACCCCCCAAAAAAAACTAAAACGCGCGACCGACCCGACCGACCCGACTATTCTATTCCGGCTAGCCTACCGACGCCAACGCGATATACCAAAGAAGCTCGAACCACCCTTTGGACTCACCTGGCCAGGCCGCAGAAGTAGTGGCAAAAGGCACATGCAAAAGCAAAAGGGTAGCAAAGAGGTGAGCCGGGTGCGATAAAGGACAAGGAGACATGCGAATGCTGCTGAGGAATAGTAGTAGCTGGCTGGCTGATTTGAAATTTTGACTGAGAAGGGAAAATAAAGGAAATGGAAACGCTAACGGGGTGAGAGCAATTAGGGAAATAATAATAGAAAATATAATAAAAACAAAAAACAGCCAAGCAGCCAAGGAGGAGGGGGGAAGAGGGGGAAGAAGACGAACCATGAGCTAGTGAAGCTGCTGCCAAGGAAAGAGGGGGAGGGGGAGGAGGAGGGAGGGGAGAGGGGAAAATGTAACATCTGAAAAACAGGTGATCCGGTATAAACCGGTATAAACCGTTAGACGTTACCCAGTCACCCACCCCACTCAGTCACCCACCCGAGTTGATGAGTGCGTACAGTGGTCCGATACCTGCCAACACACAGCCGCCCGCCAACAGCGCCTGGTACTCCTGGAGTTGGCCGTTGGCAGTTGGCAGTTGTCGGTTGTCAGGGGAGAGAGGGGAGGAAGAGGAGTGGAAAGCACATAACGTAAGCATTAAGGAGCCGGGAGCACGAGGACAATGCAATACGATAACAGTACATTGCAGTACGCCGTACAACAGGCCCCGCAGGGGGGTCACACGTGGCACGTGACGCGGCAAGGTGTGTTTTTTCTTGGGGGAGTTCGGACACATTACGTGAACTCGACACGGCAACCCGTACGGCACACCGGGGGGGGGTGAGGTTACACGAAAACAGCACAGTGGGGTAGATGGGAAAACGTCGTAGAGAAGATATTAAAATGAAATGGGACGGTTGCGGTCATCCAGGGAGGGAGGGAGGGAGGGAAAGACGAACCACAAACGAGTGAAGCTGCTGCCAGGGAGGGAGGGAGGGAGGGAATCAACCGAATCACACGCATGAGCGCAGAAGCATCAGCGAACAGGCCAGGGGCAGCAGAACAACCTGTCGCCATTCTCTCAAACACACCCCGAAACATACACAAAAACACACACACACGCACACACACGTACTTTGCGCTTGTTGTACAGCCACTGCCCACCCGCCCCGCCGCCAATGACCCCCAACGCTCCGCCCGCTCCGAAAAACAAGATCACGGCCGTGGCGGCCTGAAAGGGGGGGCCAAGATGTACGGAAAGGGTTAGTTGGGATCAGTTGGATTTGGCTGGAGAACGGACACAAGCCGCACCCCCTCCCCCTCCCCTCCCCCTCCCCTCCGCCTCCCAGATACATGTTCTTTCGCTTCCTAGCTGGCCACGCCACCGCGATGACTACCACCCAAGTCACTACTGATTGGTAATTTCCTACAACTTTTCCTGCAATATCTACCCATGCCCGGGGGGTTCCGCCTATCCCTGGTATCAGCTTCACTCTCCTCCGTGGTTCGGTTCCCTTCCGCCTCCCCTCCTCTCCACCAAATCCCCAACCCCCCAACATCGATCGCCAGTGGTTCGTCTTAACCCCCAACTCCATCCACACGTACCCACCCACGTCCGCACACGCACACACACATACTCCCCACCTCCCACCTTCCCACCTACCTCCCCACCTACCTACCTCCCTACCTACCTACACACGCACCTGTACCGTAAAACCCTTTTGTTGCGCAAGGAAATCATTGAAGTACGTGAGCACCATGCCCCACGGCAAGCTGCCCGGGAGCCCCTGTCCAATGACCAGCACGTTGGTGGGGCAGCGCAGCAGCACCCCCACCTTGGACCAGCTGATGGAGCCCTCGTACGCACCCAGGCCCTCCGAGTAACTGATCGGGGGGTGGGGGGTGGGGGAGAATACGTGTGTGTATGTGCGTGTGTGCGTGTGTGCGCGTGTTTGTGTGCGTGTATGCGTGTGTGTGATAGGCGGTGATGGGTGAGGTTTGGGACGTTTGGGTGTGTAAAAAGTTGTGTGCACGTGTGGTGCAACATGGACGAGAAAAGCAACTGTCAACGTCCAAAAAACACACAACATGATCTGCAGAAGTCTGTACGGACTTAGCACCAGAGGGGGAATGTGTCATAAGGCTGTAAATGTGCGAGAGAGGCGGAAGCGGCTATCGTAAATGCAGGGGAGGGTCTTCCTTCCCCCTCTTCCTCCCCACCCACCCCCTCACCGCTCCCTCAGCGCCTCCTCAAACGCCCCTCTAGGGGGCTCCTGCGTGGTCGCCAGCATGAGCAGAGCCGCACACAGGGACGGCGCCGCGACCACAACGAACGGCAGGCGCCAGTTCGTGGCGGGACCTATGGAACCGCTCAGGGCCTGGGGGGGGGGAGAGAAGGGGGGGAAGAGACGAACCACGTGAACGAGTGAAGCTGCTGCCAGGGCAAGAATGTACAGACAAGAGGTAGAACTGACCAGATAGGGGGAAAGACGAACCACAGACGACAGATGCTGACACCAGAGATAGACGAGGAGGGGGTTTGGAAGGCAGTTGGTGGGGCGAGGAGAAGGGGGAAGGAAAAGGGGGAGGGGAAATGGAGCGGGAGGAAAGGGGAGGACGGTGAGAGGTAACAACCTGCATGTGACGATGTGGGGTGTGTGCGTGTGTGTGTGTGTCACATATACACATACACATACACGCACATACACCCTTCCAGGTATGTCCCTTTCCAACACCACATGTATGCATACATACATACATACGGCAGGCCCCCCCCGCGCACCTGGCCCGCAGCAATCCCCAGCCCCGTGGCTATCTGCACCGCCGCGCTGACCGCCGTCCTCCTACCCGGCGGGTACAGGTCCCCCAGCAAACTGAACACCAACGGGAAGCAACCGCCAACTGCCACACCCGTCAAGGCGCGAAGCAGGAAGAACTGCCAGAAGGACCTGACCTGCATGCAAATGGCAGTGGGGGAAGGTGAGGGTCCCTTTCACACATGTTGCTAGGCTCCCGCCGCCCACACACAGATGTGTAGTGTAATGGCTTTGGACTCCTACCACCTCCTATTCGGCAGTTGGCGTCTCTTGGCCGGGCAAGTCGCCGCACTCGCTCCTTTGACCCCCTGCATCATCACCATTATATAATTACCGCCCACTCCACCCCACCTCACCCCACCCTTCCATCCACTCCCCCACCCCACCCCACCATTCCATCCACTCCCACACCCATCCACTCACCCCCGGCTCCCTCCCCCACCTCACCCAGTATGTGAGCAGGCAGGGCGTCTCCCCCACCACCACCACCCAGAACAGCAGTGTACGGCGGTTGATGTCCCCCCGGTCAGTCAGCCAGCCCACCAGCAGGGCCGCGGGGGCCCCCACGGCGAAGAAGGCCGCCATCAGAGCGCCCCCCAGCAACGTGTCCTTCTGACGTTCATTGAGACGGAAGTAGTTGGCGGCGGCGGTGAGCTGCCGGGGGGGGATGGGGGAGGAAGGGGTGGGGCTGTGGACGGGGTGGGAGCTGAATGCACAATCAAAAAAAGCAATTGCCGACGTCCATAGTTGTGGTTGTGGTGGGGGGGTTGGAAAAGGGAAGGGAGGGTGGGGGAGGTTGTATGAGTGGCAATACACACCTTGCTTTGAATGGCCTGACCTGACGACGTGTCCGCATCTTGACCCTTCACCCCTGCCCGCCCCCCCCACATACACCGTCCCCCCCACAAGTTAAACATCTGTGTACACCCTGCATATGGTATGACCCCATCACGATCACCGTGCGCATCTCTGAACTGATACCTCACTTCCTAACGCACACGGTCGACCCGCACGGCCAGAGGGGCTGGTGATCCCGGATCCGGTCGTTGACTGGTGGTTCCTGCAGACCTGCCCCTCTTCCTTCCCCATCCTTGCTCCTTGCATACGATCTCCCCCTCCCCTCAGGCCCCCTTTCGTAGCCTTGGCCCTTCTTAAGTCTTGCATGTACCCCCCTCCCTCTCACTCTCCCCCCCCCGGGCCCCCCCCTCCCCCTCACATTCGGCGCCAGCAGGTTCTGGTCGGCGAAGAGCAGCGCGGCAACCAGGCAGAACATGAACACCATCCACCTCCTCCGAGTCAGGGAGATGGGGTGCTGGAAGGGAGGGGGAGGCTGCGCAGGCAGCAGCGCTGCGGGGCGCAGAGCAGCAGGTCAAGTGTGTGTGGGGTGTAGGGGGGTTAGGGAGATGAATTATATTGTACAAAATTTTCAAATAGCGAGGCGAGCTCTTTCCAGCTGTGAAAATGGGTGAAACGAAACCCCACTGCCGAAATGCACGCGAAGAGAGAAGGATGGGGGCTTTGGGGTCGTGGGTGGGTGGGAGGAGGAAGGGGGGAAATAGGTGGTGTAGGGAAGGAGGAGAGAGAGGGGAAGGAGGGACAGGGTGCCCAGGAGGCGGTGCAGGGCGAGGACGAGGACGTGACTGTGGTACTGCGACTGGTAAAGGGGTAAAGGGAACGGGGGCAATTAGACAAAGAAGAGGCAAGGGAGGGGGGGGGACGCCATGGGAATGAAGCCTGCTCAAAGGACTACGCAAGGAGGAGCTGGCTGGGGGATGGAAAGGTGAGGCGGGGAAAGACGAACCACACACGATTGAAGCTGCTGTGAGGCGGGGAGGTTAGGGGCGTTTGGGAAAGAGGTTAAAGGCGTCGTGGACGGCCGGACGAGGAGGAGCGGGACGGAACGGGTCACCTTTTCCTTGCTACGGATGGTTGACGAAAGTGAGAAAATGGGCCACAACGGAAATTTGCAGACGGTGCGGGACCCTGGGCCTGGAATGCAGAGTACAGAAAAGAGAGTGCGTGGGCGCGTCCTCACCCTCTTGAATCTCCATGGCCGCTCTGGCGCTGCTGCCGCCGGTGCTGGGGGGAAGGCCCCGCGGACTTGTCAAAAGTTCCGGAGATGCAATAGGTCCTGGCGCCGTTCCATGAGGTCCCGTCGGCGTTGACCCGATCGCAGCAGGGTTGCCTTTGCTGCTTACTGCTGAGGTCTCATCCCATGTGGCAAGCTCACCGCTGTTGGCAGAGTTCTCTAAGTGGGATGGTGATGCCAGGCCGGATGTCGCAGGCATTGTGCCCGGCAGCGGCAAGTCGTACTGCGGGAATGCGTGAGCTCTAGAGCATGAGGTTTCCCCCTCAGCATGTCCCCTAGATACCAACTGCTGCTGCGCGTAAGCCGTGCCCCCCTGTCCTCCAGCCATTGTAGTTTTTGCTGGCTTAGTTCACGACGTAGCATTCATACATAGACGTGATTATCCCTAATCATCGTGGTGTCCAACATCGTAGCACAAGCAACGGCCTTGAGCGGTTTGCAAAAATTATCCCATTTACTGCAGAGGTCCAACGCTATACTGTGACGTAATGATCTGTAGATGACTTACGTTACATGGAGGGTATTGCATAAAATGATTGCGCTTTATGACGGTTGACGGAATGACAACTTGCAAAATTACAGTCATCCAAGTCATCATGCCAAGCCCCATAACGGGGCTGCCGGTGCCCTTTCAATTTGGGATGCCATAACATAGTTGCTTCCTTGCTGGCACAGTATTGCGTGCCCTAGGTCAGCTGGGCGGCATAGGCTCGTGTGTGGTTTCGAACTGGACAAGGCACGTTAGGGCACTATAAAAGTAAATTGTGGTTATTTGATCGTTGATCGAAGGAAGACTGGGCACCGCAAGCAAGGCAGGAGGACTGGGCGCCGCTCGCGCCCTGACACAGGGCTTGCAATCCTAAGGAAAGGGAGTGGTCGCTGAAAATGGCAGCTTTTACGGAGGAGAGCGAAGACGATTCGGGCGAGGGTATAGCGGCGGACGACCTTTTCGCTTATGGCACGCCACCGACACGCAGCGCTCTCAAGCTGGTGCCCAGGACACGCAGCACAGGTAAACAACGTCACATTATTGGTTCTGGGCTTGTGGCCAGGGTTTCCTATCTTGTTTGCAAAGAGGGTGCACCCCTAAAACTGCTCGTCATGAACCTAAGCTTTGCTTGCTCGCAACTCGTAACTCGTGTGGTCTTGATCTAGTGCTTAATTACACACCACTTCCTGAAAATGCTATGGGGGGCTCTAGTTACTCACGGTTACGCACTGGCCCGCGCCATTCTACCGGAAGCTGCGACGGCACGACGTCGCCCCGAGCAGGGGACGCCTTTCCGAGCCCCTTACCAGCTCCACACCTCCAAGCACAACTTATGATACGCTACCGCAGACGCGTATACACATGAGCCGCTTTCCACTCGGCGGACTCGGTCATGTTTGCGCCGCTCGTGCAGCTTGACTGTCCAGGCCCAAAGCACAGAATACAAAAGCCATACTGAAGATGGTTGAAAAACAACCATGCCATATTGAAGAGGGTATGAAGTTATGAACCATTGAGGTCAGCCAGCAGATTCCTCTACCCTTAGCCAAATGGCGAAAAGGTCTGGAGTTCTGCTGGCTGCCCAGCCGCCCAGCCACTCCCAATTTCCCTCTTGTCCACACACCTGTATCGGGTAACAAGTTCATGAGAGAAAGCCTTGTTTTGGGGTAGCCATCCGCACACGATTACTTTGGCGCTTCCAGTTCAGATATCCTTCGCATTTGTCCTGCACTTGACGATTGGCGACTAGGTGGTTATGGCAGTGCTTTTGGAATCTGCCGCTGGTCCAACAAGTCGGTATCTGCATCTTTGTCTTAGCCTTCGCTGTCCTTGTCGTTGTCGTCGCAGCCCAATTGTGTATCCCCAAGCAAATCCCGGGGGTCGGAAGAACGGAAGGAAGGAAAGGAAAATTTGTAAGAGATCCACTTTGAAAGCCCAGGCGGGAAGTTACCCCGGCGCAGGTGGAGGGAAGGACCTCGGCTGGAAGCGAGGGGAAAGAAATCTTACAGCCGACCCAGATGGGAATTGATTGACACGGGACGAAGCATATGTTGTTTTGGGAGGTCTAGGAGGGCCTAGATTGAGGCTTAGGAAGATTCTAATTGAATTCCAGGGAGAGATTCCATCTGGGTCATCCACGATGCCACAACTAGCACAACTAGCTGCAGGAGATCCCCCAACCCAGAAGGAAGCACATAATAGGTGCGGGGGCCCGGGCGGGCCTCTGGCTTTGGCAGAGCCCCCCTCCCATCGACGCAAGGAACCCCACCTTCTAGGCCTCTTCCCCATAGCCTCATCGAGTTGGATACGTGGAGCCACCACGGGCGGGTTTCTGACCGTTTTTCGGTTGGTTGGTTGGTTGGTTGGTTAGTCATAACCGAGCACCGGTTTATTGCTGGCCCCGAGTATATCTGTCCACCGCTCCGCTGTCATCGCTTTATGTTAATCTGCGCTACCTGCACTGCCATCAGCCGTAATCGTACGTCCTATGTCGTACTTGTCTTGTCGTACACAGGTGGCAAATCGGAAGGGAAACGCTCGGGTGTGGGCAAGCCCCACCGCGTGGCATCGTCCAAGGTAAAATGAGCTTCTTTTCCCCTTTTTCTATCCCCCAGCCCTTCTCTCTTTTCACCTCGTTGGAAATCGATCACATTTGACTTCAGCAGTTTTGCAGTTTGTAATGTACCCATTCCCAATCGATCTCCTCTTTGGCATTTGCACATAGTCCCAAGCCTCCCCGCATATTTAAAGAGAACTTCGACAGATGATTTTTCGAGTTATTGTTTCTAAGCCCTTGAGCACATCCCCAGAACCGATTTCCCACCGACTCTCCTGCCTTTTTATTCCCTAAGCCCGCTGGACGTCCAACATGACAACCCATGCCGTGTGTGTTTTTTCGTGCTCTTCCTCCCGCGTCGTCGCACTCACCATTCCTTCCGTACTTTTGTCCGTACATTTCTTCGTACGTCGTTCGTACCTCAGACGTTGGACCCTGCCTCAGCGGTGGTGCGCCAGGGCCGCAACCTGACGGCGGCGCGGCGGGAGTCCAAGGGCCGACGGCAAAAGGCCCGCCAGCAGGCCAGGTCGTACAAGGTACGACAGAACTGTGTAACTGTGTAATTTGTAACCGTGGCCGTGACTCATCAACTTCGGCGCCTTTAATCACCTGTGACCGCGATCGCCACAGCCTCGGTTATAACCGTAACTGTAACTAAACTAACGGCCGAGCAGTGGCCGTAGCCGTAACCATGGTCACCGGGACCCTCAGCCCTCCTCTTCTCGCCCGCCCGCCAAATCCAATCTTCCGTACGGTACGGCAGGAAATTGATACGATGCTGGAGGCTCTGGGCATTGGCACAGCGACCGACCCGGGGGTCATTCCCTCCGCCAGTGGCGGCGGCGGCAGCACCTCAGGTATGCCGCCAAGCCCCGTCAGCTCCACGTTAAGTCTGTCGTTGGCGTTTTCATCCGAGGCTCAGCTCGCAGCGCTTGCCACCCCCACGGCGCTGTCGAGCCGGGCAGGGACGCCGCCTCCGGGGCTTTCCGCGGCCGTGGGCGCGGGCACTGGCCCAGCGACGGCGGCGACGGCAAGAGGAGGAGGCGGCGTGGGCGTATGGACTTCGGCGACGGCGGTCGCTGGGGCCTTTGGTCGTCGAGTGACGAGCGACTTGTCATTGAAATCGTGAGTCATAACCCCCCCCCGCAACCCCCCTCCCCCACACCCAGTTTTGGGCCGTCGGCAGTTTACCTTTTGCCTCTTACATCCTCACATCCTCACATCACATGTCCCCCCCCCCCCACACACACACGCAGAGACAACCCTCTTCACACTCTTCCACTCTTCACACGCTGTTCCATTTACCACGGTCGTCATTTCCCTCCTACCGCGGCTCAGATCATTTCATTCGACACACCCTCCTCCTTTCTTTACTTCTCACTGACATCGCATCAAAGTCTTTCCTTGGCATCACCTTCACCTTCGTTCACGTGGTTCGTCTTCTCCCCACCTCTCTCTCTCCCTCTCTCTCTCCCTCTCCTGCAGCTCGGACTTCCCCTCTGGCTACTCCACCCCGGAGCGACGTCCCTCCACGGCCGCTATGGCGGTGGTGGCTGCGGGGCCAGGATCCAGATGTGAACATCCTGGTCGGCTAGCACCTGGAATCGCCGCTACTGCTACTACTGCTGCTGCTACTACTGCTGCTACTGCGGCTGCAGTACCTGGTGGCGGTGCTGGCGGCAGTGGCGCTGCTGTCGGACAGCCGATGGATGCTTTGTAAGTTAGGGCAAACAACAGCCCAGCAAGAGATTACCACTAGATCGTGTTCCGAGCTCGCAGGGGGGCAGGTGGCGTTTCCTGCCGCTGGTACGTTGCCAATGTTGTACATTTTCATTTACGTGTACGAACGGTACGGCCATCCATCCGTCCGTACATCCATATAACCAGCACGCCATGCATTCTTTTGAGAGCTTTTTTTTGCTTGTGAGAGCAAGACCGCCCCAACCAGCTAGCTAGCTAGCTAACTATGCAAACTATGCGTTTCTTGCTCCCTCCATGTAGTCATGTAATCCAATCCCCTCATCCATCCACCCATTCCATCCATCTGACCATTCCGTCCATCCATTCATCCATCCACCCATCCTTTCTTTCCTCAATTTTCCTGCTGTTGATTTCCTCGTCGGAGATGTTCCTGATTATTTCATCGCCTTTCCGTCGGTCCCTTCGCTGTCCCGTACAAACCCAAACCCGCAGTGACGTCAGCCGGAGCTCTGTAGCAGGGGTAGCGGCGGCGGTGCCGCCGGGGCTTCCGCCCCGCAGCCCCACACCCCCCGCAATGCAGACCGTTCCCCCGTTTCCCGCTATCGGGAATCTACCTGCGACCGTGCCCATTCACGGACCATTGCAGCCGCCGGCGGCGGCGGCGGCGGCGACGGCGACGGCGACGGCAGCGAACCAACGGAGGTCTAATTCTAACATTATTGCAACCGCCGCCTCCGCCTCCGCCGCCACCAGCATTGCCGTACAGCAGATGGGCCAGCGGCATCCGCACCGACGCAGCATCAGCTACGAAGAGGAGGTGGCGGCGGCGGCAAGGCGGGGGCCGGCAGCGGCATCGGCGGCGGCGGCGGAAGTAACGGCACCGGCGGCGGCGGGGTCCGTGCCGTACCACCATCCGACGCCCATACGCATCGGTTGGGATGCAGTTCACATGTCGCCGCCGCTGCCGCTGCCGCCGTTGTCGTCCACGGCGGCACTTGGAGGTGGCGGCGCCGCCGCCAGTACTGCAATGGTGACCACGGAGGGTTTGCCGGCGTCCCGTTCCTACGGCGCTTTAGCTGACCGGTGAGTTGGCGGCGGATCTCGTCACGTGGAGTGCGGGGTTAGTGTAAGGTTGGTGTGAAGTCGTACAGTCGTACAAGCAAGAAAAGCAAAGGGTCAACTGCCGACCTTCTCGGGTCGGTGGGGCAGTGGAGCTCGCGACGTGGACGGGGGCGTGACGTGGTCGTGGCGTGACGTCATTGCTGGTGACAGTCTGCGGAAGGCGAGCCGCAGCAGGGGTGCCGCAGGGCACGGCAGCGCAGGGCTGATCTCAGGAGGAAATCCCAAGCGGTCTGGCGGGTGCTGGATTTCAACCCCCCCCTGTGCGATGTGCCTTTTCGCTGTCAAAGCTCCCCACCAAGGTGAAGCAGCTCCCCCGTGCACCTGCCTCGGATGAGTACTCGTTATTTTTACTGGCACCCCTTGCCTTATATTACCCTACCCTACCTTGCCCTACCTTGCTACCATGTCTGTTCCTCTACATCTACCCGAACCTAAACCCTACCCCGACCCTATCCTGCCCTATCTACCCCTTGACCTATGCTACACTGCCGTACACACTGCCGTACCACACAGGGACGAGTTTCGGCGTCAGCTGGGTTCCGTGTTGGTGGGTCATGGTTTGAGTTTAGAGGAGTTGGAGGCCCAACTGGTGGAGGTGGAGGAGCGGGGGGAGGCGCTAGAGGCGGCGATTGGGGTGTTGGTGGAGGAGGGGGAGGGGATGGAGGCGGAGGCTGGCGCGACGGCGGAGGCGACGGAGGCCGTGGGGGGGCGGAACGGAAGCCGCGAGGGAAGGGGCGGCGATGACAGCGACGGAGGGACGACGACGACGACGGAGGAGGAGGAGGAGGAGGGCTTGGGAGGTGCGGGGGGAAGGGGGGGAAGAGGACCCACAGACGAGTGATGCTCGGTGGTTTGCGGGGAGTTTGTGTTTTTTATGTGTGTCTGTGTAAGGGGAGAAAGAATGCGTCCTGCCAGTATCTTCAGTTCTCACACGCCTCCTGGGATTCCTGTTAACTTAGGGTTTAATAAAACCCGTGTTTTGCGTGGCTGTGCTTTCCTTGCGAAGGACTCACTCACACCCCCTCACCGCCCTCAACCAATTTCCCATCACTGGAACATGGGGGATAACTGCCCCCCTTGCAGGCGGCGGCCGCTCCCCTCCTTTCTCTTGGTTGGAGCTTTCTGAGCACGTGAGTTCGTTGGACGAGATGTACCGCAAAGTGAAAGATCTACTGAGGAAGGCTAAACCGCTCAGGTAAGGGGGCAAGTGGAAGGACGGAGGGGGGTGTTGGGTGAGTTCGGGAAAATGAATGGGCTATGGATGGGCCAAGGGGGGGGGAGGAAGGGTATTAATTTGACGTCTGTGCTAAGCCTCGGGCGCTAAGACCGTGCCTGCCGTACATGCGGTTTTTGGCTGTTTGCCTAGTCCTAGTTGTGTGTCTTCGTGCCTGATGCGTGCGTTCGTCCAGTCCACGTCGTCTGGTTTTAAGTCTAAGGCTAAGAATTGGTCGGAGTACCATGGGACTGCCGTACGACATGCACGGGATGCATGCCGTACGCCGTACGCCTGTAGGTCTCACGCAGCAGAGGACCCCGAGCTGCTGCCCCGGCTGCACGACCTCGCGTTGAGGCTGCTGGGGGGGCTGGCGGAGGCGGCGGAGGCGCTGGGGAAGGCTGCGGTGTGCGGGCTGCGCGGGTTGGGGACAGCGGCGATGCGCGCGGGACCCGCCGCCGCCGCCGCCGCTGCCGCCGCCGCCGCCGCCGGTGGTGGTGGTGGCGCTGCGTTGGGACGGTTGGGAAGTGAGGAGGATGTTCGCGCTGCCGGCAAGACTGTACGGAGGTTGTTGGACGCCATCGACCACGTGAGCAAGAAAATCAGGTGGGGATCAGGGCTGGATGGCTGACGATGTACGACGGTGATGAGAGGGGTTTGAGATGGGGGATGGGGGATGGGGGTTATGTGGGCTGCGGGAGAAGGGGGTTGGTACGGGATTCGAAGCTAGGTCAATGGAGCAGTAGGGTTGTGTCGTATATGTGTGAGCCATATCCTTCTCCGGCCACCTCCCCCAATAGGAGGGTTGAGGCTTTTTTTGGCAACCCCCTCTCGCTCTCCACGCTCCTTTCCTCTTCCGCACACTTTTACCTTGGGTATTTGTGACCTCCGAACCGCAACTCTCGTCCCCCAACTCCCACTTCTGTGGTGGTATTGGTAATCGTGGGGGCTGCGTCTCTTTTTATACTTTTGTCCACGTTTTCTGTGGGTGGGTGGGGGTGGGTGGG